TGGCACATGATATTGGGCCATGTCAGTGAAAGGGGTCTAGTCGAACTGGGGAAACAAAATCTACTTGGTTGATACAAAGTCAAAAAGCTGAAGTTTTATGAACCCTGTATACTTGGAAAATCTTGCAGAGTGAAGTTCAACAAAGGCAAATAAAGAACACATGGATCCCTTGATTACATTTATGTTGATTATTGGGGGCCTGCAAGGTGTTCATCACATTCAAGAGCATGGTATTTTATATCCATAGTTGATGATTATTCCAAAAATTTATATGTATTCATCCAGAAGACTAAGGATGAAACTTTTGAGAATTTCAAAAGTTAGAAGACTCTGGTCTAAAATCAGACTGGCAGAAATGTCAAGAGGTTAAGAACCAAAAATAACCTCGAATTTTGCAATGACGCATTCGACAATTTTAGAACTACTACAGTACTGCCCAACAAAATGGTTTGGCTGAAAGGATTAATCGAACCATTTTGGAAAGAGTTAGATGTATGTTGACTAGTCTTAGATTAAAGAATGTGTTTTAGGTAGAGGATGTTTCGACAATAACATATCTGATAAACATATGTCCTTTGATTATGTTATATATGAAGACACCTGAAGAAGTTTGGTCAGAACATCCACCAGATCTCGACAAATTTAGAGTATTTAGCTGCATAGCTTATGCTCATATTAGGCAAGATAAGGTCGAATCTAGAGATTTGAAATGTATATTCCTAGGATACCCTGAAGGAGTCAAATCTTATAGGATGTGGTGCCTAGAGCCAGGCCACAGGAGGTGTATCACAAGTCGAGATGTAGTTTTCAATGAGGCTGAGATGGCTTTCAAGAAAACAGATGACATTAGTCGAAGTTCAAAGATATCAGAAGAAGAGCTGGAACAGGAAAAAATTCTTGTTGAGGTGAAGCATAGTGACGTTGAATTGCATGACCCAGATGAAGTCGAAGAAGATGCAGAAGCTGATGTCAAAACTGAGGTAACTGTAGATGACTATATGTTGACAAGAGATAGGTCAAGAAGAGTCATCAAGCCACCTCAGAGACTTGGGTATGCAGATCTTATAACTTATTCCTTAATCTCTGCAAGTGAGGTTCTAGATGAAGAATCTAGAGACTATAAGGAAGTTATGAGATGTCTAAATAAGACTGAATGACTGAAGGCCATGGATGATGAGATGAACTCTCTTCATGGTAACCACACTTGGGAACTGATCAAGAAACCTGCTAGAGCCAAGTTACTCAGTTGTAAGTGGATTTTCAAATTTAAGGAAGGAATCGAAGGAGTGACGTCGAAGAGATACAAGGCAGGATTGGTCGTAAGGGGTTTCACTTAGAAAGAAGGTGTAGACTTCAATGATGTATTCTCTCCTGTTGTGAAGCACATGTCCATTCAAATTCTTCTTGCCATGGTGGCACAATTTGATTTGGAACTAGAACAAATGGATGTGAATATTGCTTTCTTGTATGGAGATCTAGATGAAACAATCCCATACTTGAAGGGTATGCATAAAAAGGAAATGAAGATTATGTGCACAAGCTGAATATATCTTTATACAAACTGGAACAATCTCCTCGATAGTGGAATAGGAGATTTGACAAGCTCATGGCACACATATATTTCATTATTAGTCAGTTCGACCACTGTGTTTACTTCTGATTTCGACCTGGAAATTCATTTGTTATTTTGTTGCTTTATGTGGATGATATTCTCATAGCAAGCAATAATGTTGAGGATGTAATGAAAGTGAAGGATTAACTCAATAAGGAATTCGATATGAAATATCTGGGAGCTGCATCCATGATTCTTGGGATTGACTTCCTGAGAGATGGAAAGAAATTGAGGTTATGCTTATCTCAAGAGGAATACCTAAATAAGATTCTCGACAAGTTTGGTATGTCGAATTCAAAGCCTGTTCTAATTTCGATAAACCCTCAATTTAAGCTAAGTACAAATCAGTGTCATAGTACTGAGGCCGAAAAACTTATATGAATAGCATACCATATGCTGACATAGTAGGTTTTTTGATGTATGTTATGGTATGTACTAGACCCTACATATCGTATATAGTAAGTCTTGTAAGCAGGTACATGGAGAATCTTGGAAAGCCTCACTGACAAGCATTGAAGTGGATTCTAAGGTACATAAATTTGAACAGATTCTTGATTTATGATGGAGCATGTGGTGAAAATAGTAAATCAGAAATCAAAGTGTATGTCAACTCTGATTATGGAGGTTGCATGGATTCTATAAAATCTATATTTGGATATATGTTCACTATGTTTGGAATAACTATCAATTAGAAAGCAACACTTCAGAAGGTTGTTGTCTTATCAACCCTTGAAGTTGAATATGTCTTCCTCACTGAAGCTGTGAAAGAAGCATTATGGCTTGAAGGTTTTGCTAAGGAGTTGAAACTCCAAGGATGAGTTATCACTGTTAAATGTGATAGTCAAAGTGTTATACACCTGTCGAAGAATTCAGTTTATCACGAACGAACCAGGCACATCGATATGAGGCTACATTTTGTCAGAGGGATACTCAAGCGTGGAGAAGTTCAAGTTCTGAAGGTTTTGAACGATCACAATGCTACTGATATGATCACCAAAACGTTACCGAGTTGCAACTTCTTCCACTGTATGAAATTGACAAAGCTGCATAAAGAAAGCTAGTTTGTTCCCTTGATGTTATAGAGTTTTTTTCAAGGTGGAGATTTGTGAGATATTGGATCGAACTCTAGTATGGTTAAAGGGTAGCTTCTTGGTTCAACAATTTGAAAGAATCTTAGTATGTCGTCAAAGTATGTTCACATGTTGTGGTTGAAGTATGCTAGGAGTGTTAGCATGTAGAATTGGGCCTTGGTTGTAAGCCCAATTGTTTAATTTAGCTTGTTCCCTAAGTTAGCTTGTGTAATGCGCCTGTGTGTAAAAGCCCATTAGGTTTGTATATTAGTTTTGTTATAAATAGCATGCTAGTCTCTCATCTTTGGTGTGTGGTGCAAGTCCTAATTAGGGTGAGAGATGTTATTTGCTATTCTGTAACACTTGTAATCTTGTTTCAAAGAGAAAGTAAAGAATATCATATTATAACCAATTTCATTATGTTCTTCTTGTTTCCCTTTTTTACCCTTGTGGGTTTCTTGCTGATTAAGAAACCGATTATAATTTGTTAGTTCGATATCGTTTTTTACAATAGAGGGTGTGTCTAATAACACTAGAATCATCCTGGGTGACAGTCGTAACACTAATTCTTGGCTGGATCATTGGTATGATCCCCCTTTTCTAGGATTCAAGATCCTAAGGATATTAATACTAATAATTTGGTTTATGATTTTTACATAATGGTTCTTGGTGTTTTCCTACTGACATTATTAATAAAATTCCTAACTTGTATTCGATTGCAGATGGCATTGATTTCCCTATGGATAGCATGGCAGATAGCAATATTTGGATTCACTATACTTCTGGGAACTTAAATCTCAAAGATGCTTACAGCTTCAAGTCAACTACTTTTTCTACTCACCATTAGTTCCAGCATATATGGAATGCTGGTATTCCTCCTTCTAAGGCATTCATGGTCTGGAGGATGTGGCACAATAGGTTGCCCACCAATGATAATCTCATGCTGAGAGGTTGCTTATCTCCGTCGATGTGCATCCTCTGTAACAACAATCAAGAATCAACGAAGCATCTTTTCTTTCATTGCCTTTTTGCTTTACATATTTGGCATTGATTTTTTAATATGATTAAGCTTCCTATTGTGTCTAATCTTCTCAACATCTTGGATACTTGTAATAGGAATTTGAACCCTCAATGCAGAGTTATCATTCAGGCTTGCATTGTGCTCATCATCAACAACATTTAGTTGACCCGTAATCAAGTCTGATTCAACAATGGCTTTAAGCATTGGAAGAAGACCCTGAACCAAATCCTTCTTGAGGTTGCATTCATAGACAACATTACTGCTAAAATGGGGAATTCCTCCATGCATGAGTTTACCATTATCAAAGCCTTCAATGTTGCTTTGCATTCGCCTAAGGAGCCTCAGATTATTGAGGTTTTGTGGTTGTGCCCGAATATTGGCTGGTTGAAGTGCAACACAGACAGATCCTTCACCTCTGATTGGACCTCCTACGGTGGTCTGTTCAGAAGTTATTTTGGGGGACTTTGCTTTTTAGTTTGCTGAGAAGATTGTCTGCTCTTCCTTGATTATTGCAGAGTTTTTTTTGGAGTTATTAAGACAATTGATTTTACTTCTAGCTTTGATTGAAATAATGTTTGGCTAGAGACTGACTCCTCCTTTGTTTTGTTGGTTATTAGAGATCCATTTGTGGTCCCTTGGCAATTGGTGACCATTTGGCTCAATCGTTTAGTCAAAATTAGGAATTTGAGATTCCATATTTCTCATATTTTTAGAGAAGGAACAATTTTGCGGATTTATTAACTTCTCTAACTATAAATTCCGCTTTGCTTTTTTCTTGGGTTGAGCCGCTTAAGGTCATTATCTCGGATATAATTAAAAAAGCTTAATCTTCCGAATTACATATTTGTTATTCTCTTAAAGGATTTTGGTTTGGTCCCCCTCTATTTTATTTTGACTTGTCTATTTTTTATTTTAAAAAGAAAACCTGCTAATTTATTTAAAATATATCAAATTATTTATTTAAAAATTTCATATGAAATAAACATCTGAAAAAACTAACATGTGATACCATACTTAAAAAAAAAAGAAGTAATGTTCAAGTAAAAATCTATAATATTAAATTAATCAAATTTAAATCTCTTACATTTTTTAAACATACCCAACTTAATTCATGTAGAATATTCGTACATGTCGATTTCCAACTTACAGGTGCATAAGCTTGGCTTAAATTAATTTGTGTGCAATCTACATGTTCTCATTGATGTTTTTCACAGTTTAAAATCATCCGTTGAACCCTTAAAAAAACTGTTGAAAATATTCACATTTGTGAAGAAAATAATTGGCAAGTTCACATTAGTTACCATTTGCATTTACATGATAAGAACAAATTAGTACAAACCTCATGAAAAATCTCAAGTATAAGACTCTGATATTCATCCGAATTCATCGACAAATAATAATTCAACAAACTACGAAGATCTTTCGCGTCTCGAAGACGATTCACCGTTATCATCTCCATCATTGATTCCCTAAAATCCTCTCTAGGATCATACGAACATTTCTCCATAGCTAACATTACAACAAACTTAGTTTCTTCTCTTTTCTTCTCCATTTTTCTCTCTACATGTCTAGTTTCAAGCTTTTCTCTAATCATTTGGTCAAGTCTCTCTTGCACCATGGCATGTGCTAGTGTAGAAACGGAAGGGAACCTATCAGAGACAGAAGAAGAAGAAGAACTCTCTGGTTCTTCTGATGAAGAGACACTATACCTGTTGCTACTACAACACAAGGCTTTGCATCGTCTTTGTTGCTTTGAGGCTTTCATTTTAGAACACACAAAGATAATGCTTTGAAGGGAAAGTTTGTGTGAAAATAATCACTTATGGACAATTGACAAGTGGGACATTTTAGTGCATTTAATCATTGTGTTTAACTTTGGAACATTCAAAACTAAGTTAGGTGTTAGCTTAATGGGAGACATATTTACAAATAATTAATTGAGCCAAAGATCAAAATAAGGGTTAACATTTATATTGAATCATTTGTTAAAATCAGTTCTATGAATCGCCTTTGTCTGCGGTGGTTGTAAAATTCAATTATGAAAAAAATCAGACAAAAGAGATACACAGCTAATTAAGAATCTCTTTAACCGATTCTTGTTTGTGTGGTTCAAAGTACAAGGCAGCAAAACCTGTAGAGAAAGCAAAAAGGAAAAGAAGTTAGGTGATTAGCATGTGATTATCATTGATTAGTTTGCTAATTAGAGATAAACACGATCCACGTTTCTTTGCATTGCCTTGAAGCACATGTAGCACTAATGATTTTTACTAACAAATAAAGATAAAAAATAAAGCAAAAGTGTAAGTAGCATACATAGAGTAGGGAAACACAAGACAGACTGTCCTGCTTTTTTATGGAGTATTACTATTGTTATAAGCAACTAGGTCAAAAAAAGTTTATGCATGTGTTTCCTTTTAGAAATATAAAACTAGTAGGATACCTAACTACGGTTCACGGCGTGAATTTTTCTTTTTAAAATAACTAAGTTTTTTTAAAAAAATATTTAAATAATTAACATTTTAATTTATTTATGAAAGTAACAATGTTTCAAATAAAAAAACTTTATTACATAGAGAATGTGTCACTATTTATGGCGCATGAATTTTAAATTGATCCTACACGCTATTGTCTTTGGCTTATGCAGTAGTGTAATGCTAATGTATACATGCTGACATTTAGAACATGTGTCATCCTCTTGGTTTCTATGTTGTATTTGATAATTTTTTTTATTATATTAACAACAAAATAATACTTAAAAAATGTTAAATAGAAAAAGTTAAACTATAATATTATTTTAGAAAATAGAATTACACAATGATTTAAGAGAACTTTAATGATAGGTTTGATCGCAACACCCATCGGTTCCATACTGCGGCGCATTCGCTTGTCTTCAAGGCCTCCCATGATTTTTCTGAAGTGTTTGGGGTCTCCTAGTATTCGCCTGAGTCAGAGGTGTTTGCTGCGAGGTTTTTGGGATATTAGTGTTATATAACAAATTTTCGATCATATCTCCCCAGTAGTCGGTGATGTCGTAATCAAGTTTGGTGTTTATGTTGTCGTAGTTGGGTTGTGTTGGTTGGGTTATGTGTGGGCAGGATGGTTGGTTGAATTGGAACATTGGTTCGCTTTAGAAACGAAGTAATGATTCTTTTGGTGTTTGAAAGGCATGTGTTAGTTGTGTGCTTTGACGTGTGATGTTTGAGTGCTTTGGCGGTGTGATGTTTGGGTGTACATTGGTTGGGTGCTATGGTATCATATGCCTTTTTGGTGCTATGGTAAGCTGTGGTGATGAAATATGGTTGTTGGTGGTATGAGTAATGCTCTTGGTTTTGTGTTTGGGTGTGTGACATGAATTAGTCACAAGTTTGGGTGTATGTGGTTTCATAATCATGTTCGGTTGGTTGTTGGGTGTATGTGGTATGGTAATATTGTGGGGTTGGTTGTTGGGTTTAGGTGGGTTGACAATGTTTTTAGGTTTGGTAATGTTGTGGGATTGGTTGTTTGGCGTATGATGACGAAGCTCGTAGGTGTCGATCGATGAAATACCTCGATTCAGACACAAATTATGTTGTTGTAATTGGTCTATACCAATTCATATAATTTTGATTAATTGATCTAGCATCGTCTGGCATGATAGGTTCGTTTATGGTATGTTAATATCAGTGCTTCCATTGACGGCACGCCTCCTTAGCAAAATATCTCAAATCGGAAAAATTCCATCGGGCATCGACTCTTAGTTGATGTAACTGTTCCAAACACGTCGGGGATATGGGATTTATTGTTGCATGCCGAACTGCAGTTTGACACAATCACTCTGGTGCATTTCCACATTAGTGAACTTGATGATTGATGTTTTACAATCCAAACTGCAGTATCCTCGGGGTTTATCAAATAGTCGAGACCCAGATACGACCTTCAGATAAACTATAGAGGAAAAATACATTATTAGAAGATTAGTAAAATGGTAATATTAACACTAAATTAACGAGATGATGAGTTGTTTAGTTGTAGTACAATGTCTGATCCAAGGTGATCTAGAAGATTTTAATAGACCGTTATAGTGTTTTTAGGACATTTGTCATAGTTCATACCTCGAACGGACCACCAAAATTGAAAATAGTGAAAATAAATTATTTACAATTATATATAGTATAAAGTAAGTAAGTGGAAATAATGATATGAACTTACTTTGTTGTGTAAGGGAATGTGAATTTGTTCCTGTTGACGGGGGTCAGTGACGATATTCTCGATCAATCCCATGCTTGGAGAAAAAAAGCGAAAGAATAAAACAAACAAGTATTCTTATATGTGTTTTTACACAAAAGATAATATAGATGGGACAAAGAACAAATACCCGTATACCCTTATATGCCGAAGTTGATGTTGTTGAGGAGGAAGAAGAAGAAGAAGATATATTGGTTGATCATATGGTGAGCGATGAGTATGTAGACCATGAGCAAGAGTCATTACCTTCGAGCTATGTGTATTGTCCACTTGAGTACATGACAAACTTAAACTTGAGTAAAGTTGAACCATCCTCATATATCTTTTATCATCCGTATATGAAAACGAAGAAAGCGTTAAAAGTGGGAGACAAGTTTCGCACAAAAGAACACTATGTGAGAGCTTAAAAAATCACATGGAAATCTTAGTTGATTATACCATCGATCACACTAATGCGACGAGGTACATCATTTTGTGTAGTAATGTGCTTTACATGTTCTGGTTGGCAGCATCTTACCATAAGAGGGGGGGGGGGGGGGGGGGTTCTTGAGAGATAGGTTTTATGGATCCACTTCACATTTGCATTATCACCAATCTGATGCAAGATCATCATAAACTAAGCTATTAAATAATATACGATGAAATATTACCTATCATTAGCAAGGATTTGTCATTTAAGATGAGTACAATAATCTCCCATATCGTTACACAATATAATTATACTCCCTTATACAAAAAATGCATGGATAACAAAGACTAAGGCTATTAAACGAGTATATGGAAATTAGGAGAATTCATACAAAGAACTTCCACAACATTTTGTGGCACTTAGCAGTATGCTCCAAGAACTGTTGCAATTTTGGAGACACTGCCAGCATTTACCCTAGACATAACTTGTGTTAGTGGAAATAGAATATTCCATAGACTCTTCTGGGCGTGTGAGTGATGCATCAAAGGTTTCTTTTACTAATTTTGGTTTCTTTTACCAACACTCTTTTTAAAGAAAAAATAGAAAATTGTTGGTACTGGGATTCAAACTCTATCACTCTGTGCACATATAACTACAATTTCTTATAATGGTCTTAATGAAATGTCTTTTGATAAATATAAAAAAAAAGATGCATCCAAAAATGAGGTATTATCATGTTTAACTATATGACCATTGTAATATAGTGTTACCGAAGGTATATTTTGTAGTAGTGATAGGAACAAAGTCCTACAATTCTTTATAGGGTTCCTGTAAAGCTATGCAAGGAGGAAGTGAATTTAGTTGAAGATGTATCTAGTGATTTATGGCATACACTCCTCGGTCACTTGAGTGAGAAAGGACTCAAAATTCTTGCAAAGAAAAATTTTCTTCAGGTGAAAGGTACTCCTTGCATTCATTGTTTTTCTGGTAAGCAACATATAATTTCCTTTAATAGTAATGATCCTCATAGTAGGTTAAATATTCTAGATTTTAGCTCACACTGATGTCTGCATGATGGATGGTAAATCATTAGGTGTTACAGCGTATTTTGTTCCTTTTATTGACGGCCAATTTAGAAAAGTGTGGGCTTTTGTTTTGAAATCTAAAGACCATGTACTAAGTATTTTCAGACACTTTCATGCAAGTGTTGAAAAAGAAAAAAGGAAGGAAGCTTAAATGTGTCAGGTTTGATATTGGTGGTGAATATAGAGGAACATTTGAAGAGTTTTATAAAGAGCATGGAATAAAGCTTGATAAGATTATTCCAAAGACTCCTCGATATAATGGAGTTGCAAGAGAATGAATTGTATGATTAATGACATAATCAGGTGTATGATCTCTCATGCAAATTTATCAAAAGCCTTTTAGGGTGAAGCATTGACAACTTATTTTTATTTGATCAATCTTTCTCCTTCTAATCCATTTGATGGTGATCTTCCAAATATAGTATAGACAAGAAAAGATGTCTCTTATGGTTACTTTAGAATGTTTGGTTGCAGGGCTTTTGTTTATATCCCAAGAGATGGGAGATCTAATCTTGATAAAAGATCTAAATAGTGTGTGTTTGTAGGTTATGGTCATGAAGATTTTGGTTATAGATTATGGGAACCGGTTGATAATAAAATTATCAGTAGTTGTGATGTGATATTTCTTGAAGACCAAACTATTGAAGATTTTTATAAAATAAAGAAGCCAAAATCTAATGGTAGAAGTTACAATGATGTTATGCTTAAAAATACTAGTGGTAATTTTTTTGATAGGGGATATATATATAGGTAGATGATGAGAATGTAACCAATGACAAAAAACCATATCGTGATAAGTTGAAGAGGCTCCACATGAGCTACCGAATGAACTTGAGTTGAGAAGATCTACTAGAGAGCATCAAGTTTCTCAAAGATATCCTCCACATGAGTATGTGATGATCACTGATAATGGAAAGCTAGAATACTACCAAAAGGCCATTTCAAATTTTGATAAAGAAAAATGGCTGAAGGCCATGCAAGAAGAGATGAAATTATTGCATGAGAATCACACATTTAAGTTGGTAAAATTGCCTAAGGCTAGAAGAA